AGTGTACTGAACACTAAAATCAAGCAGGTGCGGAAGATTAAGTATCTGGGAACTGTTTTGACAGAGGATAGCAAGTGCGACACTGAGATCCGTAGATGCATTGGGAAGGGCAAGGACGCATTCCAAAATCTGGGCAGAATATTGCGAGACGGGAGGATCTCTTTGGTAACAAAGAAAATAATACTGAGCTGTTACGTGACAATTGTCCTCCTTTACGGCAGCGAATGTTGGACGGTCTCCTTAAAGATGAAGAAGAGACTCGTGGCGACGGAAGTATGCTTCTGCAGAAGGGTGCTAAGTATACCATAAATCGAGCGAATGAGCAACGATGAAGATTTGGAGATGATGCAAACAAGAAGGAAGATTATGATTAACATCAGGAAGAGGCAGCTGAAATTTCTGGGACACGTAATGAGAAAGGAGGGCTTGGAGAATCTGATACTCACAGATTAAATAGAGGGAAAGAGAGACACTGGAAAGCAACACATGACGTACCTAGCGGGCTTAATTAGGCAAGTGGATGACAGAACGTGGCCTGGGAGAAGTAGCAATGCTACAAAAGATAGGAGAAATGGAAAGCCATGATCGCCTATGTGCTGAAGGATCACAGTACATAAAGGAAGAAATAAGACTATAGATAAAATCTTTTAGGTTTCTGTTTGCCTAACCTTACAGACATTTGAAAAAATAAAATATTATTAAAGAAAGAAAACATAAATATAAAAAATGGTGCAAAAGCTGTAAAAGTTTTTATGGAGATATGATTGAATATATATAGATGTTCACTCTGTACAATAGCCAGGTGTCATTCGGGTTAGAGTGTTACAGAGTAACAGGCACCAACTCAAGTATATAATCATTAGAAAATATCTGGAATGTTCCATATAACTCTATAAAAATAATTATAGAATCAAACATTAGAGCAATAATAAAAAAATCTAAACTATCACGTTGATGGAATTGGTGAGAAGTCTAAAAGGAATGTATATTTATTTATATTATATCAGGACTTACCAATAATAATAGTAATAAATGTTGCTCACGGCCTGATTAAGTTGAAACCTATCTCAACCTATCACTGAATGTAAGTTAAGAAACGTTGAACCAGGTTAGTACTTACATAGATGACCGCTTATGAATACCAGATACTTGGATGTGACTGTGATGTGATCGATAACGACGCGAAATGAGGGCTCGGAGAGCTGACTTCGAATTTCAGTCAATTTTTTTTTACATTCACTTACGCGCAAATACTTTTAGGAATGGCATGAATCCATCTCTTCTCACCACCCTAACTATTTCGTAAATAGAAGAACAGGTTTGGTTCCATAGCTTTGGTTAGCAACCCGTCTACTCCAGAAAGTAACGACAGTCTACAGCTAGAATCCTTCTACCAAGACAAGGATGAATCCAAAAGAAGCATGATGGCCGAAGCGTGCATCACGCACAGCATCTAAGGGAGAAAGGAATATAATAATAAACCCTTACACTTTGAAATCTAATTTGACCGCTTGATCCAAAATTGAAAACTGTGTCTGTGAGTTAAAAGTATAGTAATCAGTGTCTGTTAATGGAACAAAGAATGCTAATGCAAAATCCCTTTAATAGAAATTTTTTTTTAGCAATTTATTAACAATAATTAATAGTTATGAAAATTTTATTCTTTGTAAGTTTCAAAAATTTACCATTCAAATACTTTTGTATTAAATATAAGTACTGTCAAGAATAGTCAAGCAAGTAGGAATATTTCCACTTATTAAAGAATCCCAGTTTCAAATAAACGTAAGTGAGCATGTTTTCTGACACGGCACTATTCCGTACTATGGAAAAAATATCTGAAAAATATTTAGTGTATCCTACAATATAAACACTGTACGAGAAAGAAACTTGAAAAAATGATTAGTTATCGGCCTAGAAATTTTTTAATCATTCCATCACGAGCAAGGTGATAAAGACACAAAAACCCAATGGGTTGCTAATAGAAATGATATTTAGGAGAAAGAAAGGACACAAAAGATGGCGATCGGCATTGCATTTAAATTTTTGAAGATCATAATTGATAGCGAAGCATGAAGCTGAAAGTGAGTTTCATATTAGTGTGAGAGAATTTGGTAAACAAGATTACATGAAAATGAAGAAATAATGAAAGACAACAGTAAAGTTAAGAGTAATGATGCAACAACAAAGACAGAAGAAACTTTAACCATTCTCTTAGGCAATAAAATTATCATATTTGCAGTTTGACGGATAAAAGCCTTTATAATCTTTACTTTATTTGTTTTTCCTGAAAGAGAAAATAACGAAATATTTTTTTATTATTTTACTTAGAAAGCCAATTATGAAATATACAATTAAAAATTTCTGTATTCTTTCAAATATCAAAGTCAGTTTAGCTGTGTAAGTTCGGACAACATCGGAAGTATTCGGCAAATTCTGACAAGTGCTCAAAGAGTCAAATAGAAATACTTCTCATAACAGACATAGCAATAAAAATAATTTTGCAGATAAGGAAAATGGAAAGTTTGCGAACTCAGTATGAAGACAATGATGCCTAATTTCATGTTCTTCATCGACATCACAACTTTGGACGCGATGACGCAGAAGGCAAGGAAATTAATTACATTGGAGAAAAAAAAAAAGGACGGACTACTGCTTAGTTCTTCATGTCTCATTACTACGGCTTTAGTCATTCTTCCACAGAAACAGACAACAACGTACGAACCAGTCAATATTCTTTATGCTTTCTAGCAACGAACATGCTGAAGGTTTGGTCGTTTTCCTTTCGTTTGGCGCCAGTGATTAGGATTTGAAGTCAGATGAAAGCTCAACACAAATCTGTCAATTGGAAGATTAGTGCTGCACAGTCTTCTATTTAAGAATTAATAAGGTTAATAAATATTGTTAACTCTGGAAGTTCTTGCAGAACACCAGGAATTCTCATGCCGAAACACATTTGGATCATACTGACCAAATATATACACTTCGAATGGTGTATTGATCAGCTATCTTGACTCGCTAAAACAATTACGATTGATTAGTCCGTTCGAAGCGCGCTGGATACTCCATACTTAGTGCTTTGTGTCACATCGAAGCTCCGCTTAGTAAATTACTAACCTAATGGACAGTAGCGTATCTTGTATATGACATTTAGCGAACGAGCTATGAGTGCCTCTTGCGGGTTGAGCAGGCACTAACAGACAAATAGTTTTTAGTGTAAAATTCGTTAATTAGGTATTAAGAACTAAATTATCGGACGATATAGTATAATGATATCACGATAAGACAAAGTTTAAACATATTATTACACAGACTTTATATTTATTGTAATTAAATACAATTATGGCACAAGGCCAAAGGGGAAGTGAGGTGAGTTTAGATGCCACTGACTATCCTTAATCTACCTAATCCGATTTGGGACCCATTCATTCATTACAATTTATTCATTCACCACAAGAATACATCTCCCTTCACCCAAACCTACATTTGCCAAAATACTACATACTCACAGGGAAACCTACTAAATCCCCTTAGATTTACTTGATTCCCGACTGAGTCAGGTTGTGACACAAGGTCGTTTTTCAACGTGCGGACCCGAGTGTTCCTAACTGGGCCACTGGTCTAAGCTGGTTTTAACTTGTCAAAGCTGGTCAAAGCTTGTCTCAGCTGTCAGAGTTCGTCTAAGGTGGTCAGAGCTCGTCTAAAATAGTCATGGCGGGTCAAATCACTGCAACGTAACAAATGTCACGCAACGGTGGAGGGACGCAAGGGAGGGCGTAGAAGCGAACAGATACTACATCTGCAGCATCTATCCGGAATGAAAAAAAAACTCACCTCTCCTTCACTGCCAATCCTCTTGGAAGGATCCGAGGGAAAGCCCTAGATCCAGAAAAAAGCTTCCCCACATTCATGATACAAAAATGACAGTGTTGAATGTTTTCAGCAATAGTTTTATGTTGATTTCCATGTTGAACTGTTAGGATTGACAAACTTTGCTTTTATGAAACTGAGGAAAATGCGGCAGATACTTTCATTTCTTGTTTGCATTTGTCTTCACTTGCATTGATTTAGGAAAATATATCTTCTTCTTGTACCATTATAGATTCATTAATCTTTCACTTTAAAAGATTATTAAATGTCGAGGAGTAGGTCATTGATATCAAAAGGCTAAAATCCGATTGTGTTTCTGAGAGAATATATATATATATATATATATATATATATATATATATATATATATATATATATATATATATATATATAAAACATTAGGCAGCATATGATTTACATACAAAGAATAATCACACATAGAATTAATCAGAAGTATCAATGCGATTATTGGCGACATCCATCGCTAGAAAACATAATATATGCATTAAAAATCCTGTTCATCCATAGTGCGAGTTTTGATCCTTGAAGAAAAACTTGTTGTTTGTAGTTTTTCAGTTTATTTGATGTTAAAATGCTAGTACTTACGGACAGTCTTCCATCCATCATCAGGCATGTGTTTAATAATCGCATTGATACTTCTGATTAATTCTATGTGTGATTATTCTTTGTATATATATATATATATATATATATATATATATATATATATATATATTGTCGCCACATGAAGACAATCATTTAACAAATTCTGGCTGAACACAACTGGATTTAGCCTTTAAGGTAAAAAAATTTAAAAAATTACACAAACACACACACACACACACACACATATATATATATATATATATATATATATTGATGTGAAACTATCATTGCATAATGTTCGATTTGTAAGATCACATGTCTGAGAATGATTTTGTTGAAAAGTAAATATTTTTGTTTAAAATAAACGCATTTTCCACCATTAGGTTGAGAACAAATAAATATTTTGCTCGAACGACAGGGGAATATGCACCAAATAAATCTATCTTTCGAGGTTTTTTTTTTTGGGGGGGGGAGTCTGATGCGTTCCCAAAAGGTACATGCTGTATTTTTGAAAGAATGCTGAAATCCTATATTACACTCGACCTATTGATAGATAGATAGATAGATAGATAGATAGATAGATAGATAGATAGAAATTGTGTCACTTCTTTCTGACGATGATAAAAATAAACATGACATTATATAGGTGGGGTGCTGAAAAATTCTTAGTCCGATCCATTTCTTAAAATCTGACTGAATATCTTCTTCTTTGTGCCATGGCCTTTCAGAACGTTGACGATCACGACTCTTCACAATTTCCTGCTCTTTGTAGTTCTTAGTAAATTTTGTCTTTTTGCTATCTTCCATAACGTTGTTCTGTCATTCATTTACTCAAGCTCCTTAGGGGAGGTTATGCGCTGTTTTCCTCTATCTTCTCTTGCATTATCTTCTGTGACTATCAAAATTTCCAAGCACCCTTTCCACATTATGTGACCTAGAAATTTAAACTGTCGCTTTCTAATGTTAATTATAATCGTCATTTTTGTTCCCACTTTCTCTAAAACTTCGTCGTTGCTCACATGTTCAAGCCATGGTATTCTCAGCAATCTGCTGTGAAACAATATTTCTGTTGCTTGTTTATTTTTTTATTGTGGAGTTGATGGCATCAGAGTGAACAATTTTCAGCGCCGCCTCCTACGCATACAAGTCGCATTATTGTCAGGACATTGAACTCATTTTTTTTTGTTGGTTAATCATATTTCCAATGTCGTTCTTCTGTGATGGTTTAAAAAATAGAAAATAATTTTATAAACGGTTATTATCTCAGATATCAGTTCAAGATTAATTTTGTAAAGTTTTTTTTTTCAACAAAAACTGGACAGAACAGACATCACATTTGAAATCGGAAATTTATTATGTAATTGTACTGGGAGTGAAGAGTCCTAAATGACGTTCTGACACGTTAAATGTTATTAAGAATAAAAGCCAGACTACATTTGTCCGGCTCAAGAGCGACATTAGAATTAATAACAATACAAAATGTGTCGACCAGATGTGCAACAAGAATATGTTTTTGTAAGTATAAACAATGTTTATCAATCTCCTTACTAGTTTTTCTTAAATCTTATTTTCTGGCTATTTTTATAGCTGTTAAGTAAGCAATGGAAATTAAAAATAAAAATATGAGCTTCTGAAATAATTTGAACTTATACATACCCCTGCTAAGTGGAATATGCAAATTATCACTTAAAATAAAAAAAGCACAAAAATTACATGTAACAATCAATATTTGAGATGAGTAATTATCATTATTATATGCTTAGCTATTCGGGCCAATATACTAATTGCCGTTGTTATACTCACAACGTTTCGACGTGGTTTCTTTTGAACTTCTTCCAGAGTCTGTCTTTATCCGTGGTAAACTTCTTGAATTTCGGATCGAAAATATTATACACTGCACAGGCGTAGATTTTTCTCATTCCTGGCTAGTATATATATATATATATATATATATATATATATATAGATAGATAGATAGATAGATAGATATAGATATAGATAGATATTGAAATGGACAAAGTCCGACAATAATTTTAAGACATTTTTATAGATACAAATATTCAAGTAAATGCTCTGTTTATAATAAACAGTATTAACGACATTTATCGGCCTGAATGTCTTAAAATAATTGTTGGACTTTGTCCATTTCATAATGTGTTACGTCATTTGTTTACATTTGCATACTCCATGGAGCAGATATGAATGTACGAGAGAAAATCATGGAGAATTGTAGTTTTAAGTCTGTAAATTCGACCTTCCTAAACGAAACGCTCCTCTGTGGCTAAATCGGTAAAGCACGTCAGGCTATATGACGGTTCCATATAGATAGATAAAGAGAGAGAGAGAGAGAGTAGTTAGATTGGTTAATAAAATGAAGAACAAAGGAAAAGATACCAAAATAATCAGTACGATAAATATTTATTAAATATCAAGCATTTGACAAGTGAAGCTCGGAGGGAAAGGTTTTAAATTCGGAATTTTCGGGCGCGCATGTGTCCTTTATCCACGATCCATGGAACAAACAGAGAAATTGAAATTACTCACCAAGAGATGTTTTAGTAGATAAAGTATTTACCAGTGGAATATATATATATATATATATATATATATATATATATATATATATATATACACATAATTATTTATTTAAAAATATGATTACAACACGCTACATAAGAGTTCTCACGTTTCAAAACAAGAGCCGAAAACTTCAATATAATTATTTGAATTAAATTGAATTAAAATACTAAGCTCTGTTCCATCTTCCAGCGAAATTTTTTTTGGAATAACTTATTTCTGAAATTTACGTGTTTTATAAGCATATTCATTATTGAAATCCAAATTTCTATGGTAATGGCTAGAGCAATTGTTTAAAGAAAAAGGGCGTATATATATATATATATATATATATATATATACATATATATATATATATATATATATATATATTATTTACTATATAGATAAAGTATTTACCAGTGGAATATATATATATATATATATATATATATATATATATATATATATATATATATATATATATATATAAGAAATGGACAAGGTCCGACAATTTATTTATTAAAGACATTTTTATGTTTAAAAATCTATAAATATCTATAAAAAATCTATAAATAACAACGTTAAACATAAAAATGTCTTTAATATATATATATATATATATATATATATATAATCCCCTCCAGTCTATTTTGCTTTATATATTGCTTGTTCGTTGCTTTCACTGAAACAAAGTATGTGAATTTTTGGTAGTACTAAGCCCTGGGATTGAATCCGATGTCTCTCCTGGATGTCGTAGTGCTTTTTTTATAGATATCCACTGGTTTATTGCCAGTGCATAATCCTCCCGCATATAATTTTGCTATCTTTTACTTAAACTGGTTTAACCCTTCGGAAGAAAAAGGGATACTCAGTGGTCAGTATTTAAGGGCATTTCAATATTTATTAACTCAATAAATTCAGTTGTGTATATATTTGGGTATATTTATATTATGGAATATAATATATTAATATATATTTTTAACCTCGCATAATCTGGCAACCCTGAATTTGAACTTAACAAAAACATAATATAGGTTTTACTTAATTAGCTATTATGTTTCTCTAACTCTTCAAATGTTGAATGTATAAGTAATTCTAATTTCTATTTTCCCAACTTTACACCATATTAATTTTATTTTATAAATTGTTCCCTGTTCTGTCACCAATGAAATAAAAATAATTGTTTGTACGGAAAATAAGGATCTAAGTATATCAAATCGTCTTTAAATGAAGTGACAGCAGAATTGAACTTTTAAAAGGTAAGCTTAAACTTTAATCTAATACTTAAATGCAGCTATCAATTTTCAGTTCTTCTGTAGTTTATAGATGCTTATCACATGTACCCTTCCATAGCTATTGTGATGATGGCCAAACAAAGATTTCTCCACAGGAGCTAGCTTAAATGCCGCCCGATAGGGCAGCTTTTAAGCTAGTTTATAATAAAATAAAATGGCTGGCCACTCGTATCTGAGGATACCTGTCTACTAGGATAGTTATCCAATCCCTCTTGAAAACACCGGCTCAGAGACATTTTGTCTTTGTTCGACATCCATGGAGCCCACCTGTGGATCAGACTTCAACTATGTTGAGCGGACCTTAGTTACAGTTTCTCAGAGATAGCGCATTATCTAGCGTGATCATCACTCTGAACAAGGCCAGCACGCACAAACCCTCGATCACGATGACTTGTGACTTTGTGCTTGCGCAGCCATCGACAGCTTGCCAAAGAGGTCAATCTATCCAATTTCACTCACAAGGCTTAGGTCAAACGGTGCTAGCATTTTCAGGCACTTTTCATTGTGCCGCTCCCAGACGGATAACATCAAGAAGTCACCTTCCTAACAAATCGATCATGATTAGATTCGAACCCGGGTCGCATGGTCAGAAAGTGAACTTTCTAACCACATGTGCCTATAATTTTGCAATATCATTATAGCATATAACCAATTCCAACTGTTTGTCAGCATTTAGTTGTTTTATGATCAAAGGCAAATATGGATAATTAAATTATATACATTTAACAATATCAAATAGTTCAATTATACATTAAGTAATCCAAATATATGCTAATGTGAATACAAAGACGAGACCCTCGTCCTAAAACAACTCATACACACACACACATCTATATATATATATATATATATATATATATATATATATATATATATATATATATATATATATATATATATATGTGTGTGTGTGTATTATATACTTAAACATGAAAATAATAAACAAAAAACTAAAAATTCTTGAAGCTATATACATAAAACAGTTGAAACCTCACCCGAACAAAATAAATTATGAAATCTCCACAAATATTCTTAAATGCCTATAATTGATAACAGAAACCATTGGTTTATACCAACGGATTCGCATACTTAATAATTCTCGTTTTCACTCTCGCGTTGTCATGTGTGACGTCATGAGCTGCGGTGCGATTTTCGCTTCCAGCGTCTTATATGAGTTTGTCGTTGCTTGGAAATCTTCCATGTAAACAAAAACAGATTATCATCACTGTCTTGTCCGTGTATTGCTTAATGTATTATAATGTAATTGTCATCTTTGATAATGGCTTGTGTAAAAATATGTATCAATATTGTAATCTTTTTTCCTTCGTTTAATGATGATGTTATTAAACTTATCACACGACATGAAAAGAATTTACATAAAATAGACAACACTTGTCTATATTATTTAATGAAACATGCATCACAATATATATATATTATGAAATGGACAAAGTCCGACATTTATTATAAGACATTTTTATGTTTATACATTATTTTTGAAAGATACAAATATTTAAGTAGATGCTCTGTTTATAATAAACAGTATTAACGACATTTACCGGCCTGAATGTCCGAGAAATTGTCATAGAAATGATGCTTTCTCCGACAGAAATCGAACCTGTATCCTATACGAGATCGTCATATAGCCCGACATGCTTTTACCGATTTCGCCACAGAGAAATGTTTCAGTTAGCGAGGTAGATTTTACTGGTTTTAAGCTAAAAATCGTGTGGCGTAATCGCTAAAAGCACGTCAGGCTCTATGTCGTTTCCGTATAGGATACAGTTTCGATTCCTGTCCGAGGACGCATATTTTCTATGACAATTTCTCGGACATTCAGGCCGGTAAATGTTGTTAATAAAGATAATTATAAACAGAGCATTTACTTAAATATCTATAAAATATGATGTATAAACATAAAAATGTCTTTATATATATTCAAACGTTACTTTTAGTGGATACTGGGGTTTGAAATAGACGTCACGTATTTTTTTATATTAAACAGCTTTTAATTCGACGGGGGCAAATTAGAAATTCAATCGTAGTAACCCTTTACACTGCTTATGTTTAAAAATATCAAATTCTTATGTTTTATTATTATTATTATTATTATTACTACTACTACTACTACTACTACTACTCCTATACAGTTATTACCCAGCCGTTTCCAGTGACTCCTAAGGGACGATAGCCGAGTGGATTAAAGCGTTGCTTCATGAAATCGGTGACATAGTAATTATCAGTTCAATTCCTGGTTAGAGCAGTGTGTACTTGGATTAAGTGGAAACAGGCGAGCAATACTAAAAATATAGAACTAAACGGTATCCCTAAACATGTGCAATTGAACATGAAGAGTTTACAAGCCAGCCTAAAGCCCCTGCTACTCCCAAGCAGTAACCCATCTGAGTATTGACCAGGTTCGACGTTGCTTAACTTCGGTGATCGTACGGGAACCAGTGTTTCAACATGATGTAGCCGCATGTCTTTATATATACATTTTTTTTTTTTGAATATAGACAACATAAAGCAATGTGTCCGGTGAGAATTTTTGTAGGTTGTTTATTTAATACTATTTCTTTTAGGTATTTTCTCCATAATAGATTGTATTCAATTTTTACTCGAGTAGCATTTGTTAAAATCCAATCCATGGTCTGTTTTGTTTGTTTTGTTTTGTTTTACGGGATATCAACCTTAATGGGTTATTTAATGCCCACAAGACTTTTATTGCAGGTAATATTTCTTTTTCCAAAAATGTATTGCTGGTAATATTTTTTCTCAAAAATATATTGCTGGTAAAAAATTTTTCCAAAACATGTATTGCTGGTATTAAAACCTATTTTTATACTTTCATAGCGTCTTCAACACTTTTGGGTGGTTAACTATTCGCCCATAGCTGGGACGCTGACAAGTGCTACCACCCCGGGTCAGGGTGGACCTGGGAACACCAGCAATTGGTTCCATTCTCCTCCTAACCTTCTGCTGAACGGCTTTGCTCTCACATGCAGTTTATCGTCTTACCCTAGACGCGGATGTTGCTCGTCGTCTACGCAAGGACGCCCATTGGGAAGGGGGTTTTATCCCTCTGCAGAGGTGCAATCCGCGTATTCTACAGCCCAAGCCGACAGGACGCTGTTTTGTTTCTATGTGAAACTAAGACATTAAATGTATCCCAGTGGATGTTACTTCTATGATTAGAAGGCGTCGACTGTCTGTTTATGGCACATAAGAAATTTGAACAATTCCATGTGTTTTTGATGCACTTCATTATAGGCGTCGTGTGACAGGATAAATTGTTAAATCGATAAATACTGGATGGAGTAAATCTATTTACAATTGGCACTTTGTTTCTTAAATCTTAATTCCAATGGGACAATCTCGTCATTCAAATGGATAACTATACTCTCGAAGCAATTGTTATATGGGGAACAAATTTTGAAGATTGCAGAATAAATTATGTTGAATTTAAAAATAACAACATTAAATAATACAACCACCAATCGTCTTCTTTCATATACTGTAAACCTTCAGAACGTGGGCGATAATGGATCTCCACAGCTTCAAATTTTTAACTCTAATATTTGTCTCTTTACTATCATTCCAAATCACCGTTAAGCCATCTTTCCTTCTTTCTTTCAATTTCCTGGCGGTCTCATATTCAAATTACATCTGTCCTTTTCTAAGACTGAGTAAAAGTATCCTTTTTTGTTTTCAATTTCCTTGAAACTTCCTAATTGGTGACATGCTCTGTACATAGTATTCTCAGTATTCTTCTGTAGATCCGTACTTTTGTTGTCTTACGTATGCTCTGTATCTGTGAGGAAACAACCCTGTATTTAATAACATATGGAAGAGCTGATATTGCATAGCATTTCATCACTCTTTTTGTTTGAAACTGTTGTAACCTAAGAAGGGTTACTGAATGAGGAATAACCAAAACGGAGGTTGGAAATGAAATGCTAATCTTTATAACATCAACAAAATACAATACTCGTCAGCGGCGTGAAGCAGGTAAACCACTGCTAGTGATGGACTACTTAGACAGCATATTACTCCCCACTTACTACCCCGTGTCCAACGTATTTATGAAGATTGGGATATACACATTAGTGTTCATAGTTACGTTATATAACACTAACAAATTCTGTTCAAAAAAGACTTTCTCAATGTTTTGATTATTCTTTTTCTTATTATTATTTCGTTATGTCGAGTTTCTTCAGGACGTGGTTGATCGTGGCTCTCCACAACTTCCTATCATTTTCAACTCATGATCTCTCTTAGTCGCTGTTCTGCCATACTTTTACACAAGTTAATTAGATAGGTTACTCGCTGCTTTCCCCAGACAATCTTGAATTTAATATACACTGTGTGTGTTAATTTCTCCAAGCCACTTTCTTCAATGTGTGCCCTAGAAACTTCAATTCTCTCTTTCTGATAATATAAGTATAAGTTTCTTATTTGTTTTCATTTTCCTTAAAACTTTTTCCACAGATTTTCCACAGACGCATTGACTGAGCGACCCGAGGCCGTTTGTTGCCGGAACAGACACCTCCTGGATTTTCACCGGAGCCCCTTTAGCCGGGTTGCGGCCCTAATACCGCTGGGTGCCAGACCAATCCGCCTTGAGTTGCCCTACCAGGAACCGAAGTTCCACACGACATAGCCCTAGCACTACCACGTTGCCAACGCCCTGCCACGTTGAGGAGGGGTTGGACTTTTAGGGCGGTAAGTGAATAACATGTAGTCTATGGGTGGTAGACAGACCCAGTAAGCTAGGTAGCAATGAGATTTGCGTGCGCTCGCATCTCCCTTGAATTGTATGATTACATCACGTACAGTTTGGGGACTTTCCGATACCAATTCGTATATTTCAACATCAACAAGCAATAAACAGACATACCAAAACATAGATATGTACAGCAAGTAACTGATGAGAATAAAACATTTTGAATGCATTTTTGGTAGGTAGGCCATCCCTACACGAATGTTTGACGCAACACAACGTTCTTACCCATAATCCCTTCTGTGTGAGGGACTAAGTTCTGTCGAAAGAAATATATTTTAACAAATTAATTATTTATTTTACTGGGGATGAAGACATTTTTTAATCTAAATGAAATCCAGGAATAGCGGAAGTGTATTGACATTTAGTAGTTCCAGGCACGTGCACACACATACACACGCTCGCACATGCACAGAGAGACGTTAACACATCTATACACATGTAAGAGTTATGTATTCATATGTTGTCTATTTGCAAAAACGTCAAATATATGAAAATTAACTTTATTTCATAGAATTTTTTTAAACTTTTAATATACGCTCACACATTTATACAGATTAAAACGTACGCATACAAAGAAATGTATGCATATGTTTGTATATAAAGGCACGAATATATACATGTGTATACAAATATATATATATATATATATATATATATATATATATATATATATATATTCATTTTTTTAAATATCTTCTTAACGTTTTAATGTACTACCTTCTTGTGTCAACATTGCCTCCCGCCAATAGCGGACACATTTGTCTCATGTTTATTGCCTGTCGACGAGTGTCAGCCATATTAAAACTTCCATACAATGTCAATAAAATTTAACTTTCTCTTTTACTTCATGGAAAACTTTCTAGATTTAAAATTGTCGTTCTGTACTGAATATACATTCGCATGTACGCACGGAAATACACGAATATATCTTTGTAAGTAAAAGAATGTACATTCCAGCTCGTCGATTCTTCTTCACAGATACACACCGGGCTTATTTTGGCATCTTATAAGGCGAGATATTTATCGACGATAAAATGTATCAATGCTGTACACTGCCAAAATCTAGGCACGAGGAAAAAGATTCATATATTTACAACTCTGTTCAGCCTAGCTAAATGTATTCATAATCCAGTTTCACTGTTATTCACCCATTTAGAACTCATGCTTTAATTGCATACTTCTCAAGTGAAACATGTGTATACGATTCGTCACTAAAGATGCTTGAAAAATGGACGATTCTATATATGCCTCTACAGAAATTATCAGGTTTCTTCTGCCAGGTTATATCTTTACAAGATTCAGATCAAACCAAATATGGAGTATTGCTGGACCTGTACTATGCTCACATAACAGCTTTCATAGAGTTCAAATAGCTTCGACGCAGCCTTGTTGGCGATAGATTATTTTCCAACCTTCAACCCCTTTCCTACAGATGAAACAGCGCAAACCTATCGTTACTCTATTACTATTTCATGGTAAATGATCAGAGGAGCGACCTGCCATGTCCTGTATTCAGGTTCGAATCATTCTGATTCCCTTCCTGTTCCATCGATGAGAAGAACGTTCTGCTTAGAAAGCTTTTTTTTTCCCCCTGAGAATCGCAACATTTGGGAACAGATTACCGAGAGGATGTTTCACTTATCCTTAGAATTTTAGTTTCTTAATCTTGGGTCAATATTTATCTATCCGTCATATACTCGTAATCTTCATATCACACACTTCATTTAGTAAGGCTCTACATTGAGTAAGTCTTGTGATTTACATTGTGTGAACTTTAATTAAAACAAAACATTTATGATCTATATGATAATGATCTGATTTCTCTTTAAGTATTTTAATTACGGCAACACAGTACAAACGGTACATCGTAGCGAGATTCTTGTTAGAGCAATACCATTTAAATGTTTTAACTTAAAGAATAAAGCAATTTCCAGTTCAGGTGTAAGCATAGACACTAGGTGAATAGTTATTAGTAAGGTATACATGTATAAGTAACCTTCAATTTTAATTTTCTTAAACTTTTCCCTTATTCATTTATTTATTGAGATAATCTATATAGATTTCTAAATATTCATTATATATATTTTTTTTAATTTCTAACGATTGACGTGTCTAGACGCAACGGCACAGCCGATTGCATTTAGCTTCCATAAGTTCTTGTTATTGTTGCTGTTGTTTTGAAATATCACACAATGCAACAATTCAACAAAAATTTAAGAAAGATAAAATGTTGTAAGACTCTGGACACAAATTTGCCGCGAAAGCCTCAGAGATCGGGGAATTCTATATACTTATTCTTTTTAGTAAATTAGTTTCTCTCTTAATTAAAACTGCATTCTTTAAGTCAAAATTATAGTCAAATTCATTACAATGAATGACTAATGCATTGATTAACTGGAGGACAGTAATTTAAAAATTCAAATTTAGACTCTCTACATCTTAAGCGTTTCCTTTCTGTGCATAATTTTGATCGATGTTTTGACTTATATTCTATTCAATATGTATAAAATCTCAGCAATAAGAATATTACTTTTAATGGATGAAACACGTTACATACAATTGTTTCTATCTTATCATGCAATTATCCATAATATTAATTCTAATCTCATCAATAAGAATATTATTTTAATCTGATGAAGTCCTGCTAATGGATGAAACATGTTACATACAATTGTTTTCTATCTTATCATGCAGTTACCAATAATGTTAATTTTAATCTCATCAATAAGAATATTATTTTAATCTGATGAAGTCCTGCAATGGGTGAAACACGTTACATAGAATTGTTTTCTATCTTATCATGCAGTTACCCATGATATTAATTCTAATCTCATCAATAAGAATATTATTTTAGTCTGATGATGACCTGCTAATGGATGAAACACGTTACATAGAATTGCTTTCTATTTTATCAATCAGATATCTATAATATGAATGTCTAAGTAATGGAATTGTTCTTTTCTAATTCAGAAGATTTGAACGGAATTCGAACTTGACATAACAATTCCGCTTTTCCTGCCAATAAATCTTATGATTTCCGCACAAAAATTAAATTTATGAATTCATTTTTCCATACTACCTGGATTTGCTAATACATGTATCGTAAATATATATTTCGTTACATCATAAATCTAGTTATTACTGATCATATGATAATAACGCTTAACATAACTTGAAAAAAATTGTTGTAACTGCCATGTTTGTAAAGTCTCTGCTATTCTGTTTGCACATAGCTAAAACGACTTCCTGAAAATAACAAAAAAATCACAAATATATATATATATATATACGTTTTTTTTGTGTGTGTGTGTTCTTTACGTACATCAGCTTGCACTAACATACATCAGTAAATATATTGCTTAAAAAAATCTCTTATCTTTTTAATCGTCATGTGTTTGTCTTTTTTTTTACCTATTTGCGATATATTCCTCCTAATCCTATCTCTGTCAAGTCCTGTCTCGCTGTCTCCAAACAGTTTTTTTTTAATATATTTCTCCTTTATTTAAGGGATCGTATGGATTCATTGTAGTGGTTTTGGAGCAGACACGGGGCTATCCGTAAGGAGAACAGTTTACTGGGACGTTCTCTCTTGCTATAAATGTCAGACTAAGCCAACAGTCAGAGAGAAAGAAAGCAGAACAGGGACACAGGTAAAGGAGTCGCTCTGAGAGGGAAAAAAAAGCATCTTCTTTCGTATCTTTGCCTGTCTCTGTGATATGATTTTTCTTTTTATTGTAGAGAATGTTGGGGCGGAGATATTTGAAACATTAAAGTGGAGACAGGACATCCTGAAGCAAAGAGAAAAAAAAAGCATTGTACGTTTTCTTTTAAGTAATAAGACGATGGGGCTTGTTTCTGATATTCTTAAATGTTAAAGGAGAAGTGTATTCAAAGAATTGAAAAGTTACATCAGGAAACAGACATATTCACGCAAAAATGATAAAGATTGGATATATATGGTGAGAGAGACAGATTCAGTGATATACATTCCTCTCTCTCTCTCTCTCTCTCTCTCTCTCTCTCTATCTATCTATCTATCTATATATATATATATATATATATATATATATATATATATATATATAACCTAACCTGAACAAAACAAATTATGTCATCTCCACAAATATTCTTAAATACCTATAATTGATAACAGAAGCCATTAGTTTATACCAACGGTTTCTCATACTTAATACTTCTCGAATTAATTCTTGCGTGGTTATGTGTGACGTCGCGAGCTGCGATGCGATTTTCGCTTCCGCGTCTCGCATACACGATTTTGTCGTTGCTTTGAAATCTTTCATGCAACAAAAGCAGACTATCATTATTGCTTTGTCCGTGTATTGTTTAATATATTGTAATGTAACTGTCATCTTTGATAATGGCTTATCTAAGCCGAAAGCTTAGATAGGATTAAAAAAAATGTATGAATATGGTGATTTTCTTTCATCTTTTAATGATAATATTATTAAGCTTATCAGAAAATATGAAAAGAATTTACATAAAATAAATCGACAAAACTTGTTTTTATTATTTAATGAAACATGCATCAATATATATATATATATATATATAACGTGTATTTGGGCAGCAAACATTCTTTCAAACATATTTCGTTGAATATGAGAAACAAAGGAAAATTTTATGATTTTTTTATTGAGATTTTCTAATATTCTTAAATTTAAGTGAGTGTAAAAATTGTCCTAAGCACTTTCGGTCAATTCTTTGGCCGTTTTTCAAGGAGTTTGTTGTTAATTTATTTTCACGATTTTCTTTTTTAAGATGAAGTGATGCCTATATAGTAGTTGCATATATTCCGGGACCCCAAAAAGAACTCGTGTTGACTGGAATTCGAGTCGGTATCATTTTATTTCTTTTTTTTTTTTTTAGGTTTTAGTGCGTTATTTCCGTTGTTAAATACGGTGAGATTAATACTGGGTACCAGGTTTTTTATATAGAGTGCTTCTCTATCAACGGGATATAGGCATGCACACTGTCAAATCTTATTTCACAAGTTTGTTTTCATGATACATTTGTTATTAATCAAACGAAGTTGATAAAGATTTTCTAGATATACTTATATTTTTAGCTGATATTTATTTATATCAGAAATATTTTTAATAAATTATTTAGTTGTATGAGATTTTTATTATAAAATTCATGATACTTTTAAATAAATATAAGTAATAATATAGATATAAATAAGAAGTTCTAAGAAATTATGAACTGATTTGAAGTTTTACAGTTTTATATAACGCACTTAAAATAAACGGCATATCTGTTACTAAACTCACTAGATTTATCTTATCCAGACGAACGGATCAGTATCTGCGAGATTTCTAGTCGGAGGATAAGTCGATGAGCTTATCATTTATCTATTACCTGTCTATTATTTATCTCTATACCTCACACACATGCAAGGAATATATAATTCTCTCCTTCTCTTTCTCTCTTTCTCATACACATACACATACTCAATCCCTTTCTGTTTCGTTCTCCCTTTCTATCTATCTCTCTACATATATATATATATACACACACACATATATATATATATATGGATTAACAGTATTTTAATGCATATATTATGTTTCTAGCGATGGATGTCGCCAATAATCGCATTAATACTTCTGATTGATTCTATGTGTGATTATTTCTTTGTATGTAAATTATATGCTGCCTAATGTTTTATGTTTATAAAAAACTATCGATCCGCAGTACATAAAAATTCCTATAAAAAAAAACTACTACTAAGACATTACACTATATTATTGAACTATATACTTAGTTCATGACATAAAAACTGAATACACTTGTAAAAATAGAATACGTGGATTTAACACATCACAAGAAATATTTAAATAAAATTCTCACTTAAAATTTTGAAAAACTTAGCGTTGCGTCTTTGCACGTTCCGAGATCTTACACAACCGTCAATAGTAGCAGATATTCAAAAAAACATCTTTCGGTCGACATACAAGTATTTCGTCTCCAAGTTTTTGATTTTATAAGGAAAAAAACTCATGCCTGATGATGAATAGAGGACTATTCGTAATTACTAGCATTTTAACATCAAATAAACTGAAAACTACAGACATCAAGTTTATCGACGAGGATCACTTCGCTCTATGGATTAACAGTATTTTAATGCATATATTATGTTTCTAGCGATGGATGTCGCCAATAATCGCATTAATACTTCTGATTGATTGTATGTGTGATTATTTCTTTGTATACATATATATATATATATATATATATATATATATATATATATATATATATATATATACAGTGCAACATCGGTTCTCGAACGTCTCATATGTCGAACAAATCGGTTTTCGAACAGAAAATTTGAGATGGAAATGCCTTGGTTATCGAACAAAAAAATCGGTTCTCATATACAACATTGCCGAACCGAGTTCACACGAACGGAATCATTTCTGAGTCAACCGCCATGTTAGTATACATTCGTGTGTTGTGACGAGCTTTTCTTTACTAATTTTATGGTACTGTGACTTTTTTCTGTTCATTGATTACTGTTGGTAAAACATTTTCTGTTTACGAACATTTCAGGTTATGAACAGCCTTCAGGAACGAATTAAATTCGTAAACCGAGGTTTCACTGTGTATTAGGTGTAGAATCCCCGACTGTCACCCATTCAGTCGGGTTTCGATCCTAACTAGAGGCAACCAGACGTCTAGCCACACTGATGAGCTGTGATACCGCGAAACAGTCTGTCTATAGATGACAATATATATATATATCGCTCTCGTTCTCCCTCCCCCCATTCTCTCTCTCTCTCGCTCTCTCTCTCTCTCTCTATATATATATATATATATATATATATATATATGTGTGTGTGTGTGTGTGTGTGTTATATCCATCCTCTTACATGGCAGTAAATGTTGGACAATCTCCGAACGGATGAGGAAACAACTGGAGGTAGCAGAAATGTGGCTCTACAGAAAGATACTGAGAATTCTATGGATGGAGCGAGTGAGCAACAAGGACATACCAAAGAAAATGGCAACCGATAGAACACTCACACTCAGAATCAGGAAAAAACAGCTGAAATTCCTTGGGCACATAATGACTAAGGAGGGCTGGGAAACTTGAAATTCACGGGACATACTCAGGACAAGAGAAATAGGGAAAGACAACGAACCACTTATTTGACGAGCTTGTATGAATGGAGGGTGGATTGATGTGGGGCGTGAGATAGGATGTTGCCGAGAGCAATGATCGCTTATGTCCTGAAAGGAAGCGACACAGAAGGAAAGAAATATATCTATATTATTTAGTATGGTATTAGTTAATAAATTCAATAGATCTATCTTACCCTAACGGGCAAATCCATGTCTGTCAGAAGATAAATCATTGGACATATTATTTAATGTATCTTTAGCATTTTGGTTCCAATCTGCTACAGGTCCATGCTGGGATTTCTTCTTAAACCTTAACAATGATCAATTCTGGATGTCTTGTTGGCTTTCCTGCTTTGAAGTCAGAATGCTATAGCCAATAGAATAAACAGATAACTGAAATATTTTATAAGATCAGCGTTCCTTTTAAATATGTATATGGCCTATATATATTTTATATGGTCAATGTTAATTATGTTTTATGAATATGTCCTGAAGATGGTCTATTAGACCGAAACGTCCGACGTTGACATTAAACATTAAAACAGTATATTCGCATATTAGGATTTTTGTTTGTTTTTTCAGTATATTTTTCTTCATATATATATATGTACATATACATGTGTCTGTGTGTGTGTGTATGTATGTATATGGGAACTACACAACAAAATAAGGATGAAATGCAGGCAAGCTAAAGAAGCGTGACTAAATTTTAAAAAAATATATATGCTGAAATAGAGAGACTGAGTACCACCAACAAAGGAAATATGCATAAAGAAATAATGGAAATAAGAGAGCAGAAGACATGCTCTTTAACAAGCTGGCTAAAATCCAAGGAGGGAAGGCTCATATTAGAGAAGGTCAAAAATATATTGGAGAATGCTTCCATGGCGAAAGAGAACAAGCGACAATACACAAAATTACAGACGGACTTGAAATTCTAAACACCGAAGTAGAAGCTGCACTGGCCAAATTGAAAAAAAACAAGCGGGAAAGGCCAGACGAAATTTTAGCAGAGATGTTGGGAGCCTTTGATGATTTGGGCTTAGACAAGATTACGGAAATAATAAATGAAATCTACAACAGTGCAGATGTACCGGAAGATCTAAGCAGATCTATTTCCATATGCCTAAGAAAGCAGGCGAAAACGAATGTGAACTTCATTGAACAATCAGTCTAATGAGCCACATAACAAAACTCATCATCCGTATTCTGGTGAATAGAGCGCGCAGCAGAATCAGGCCAAAGATAGGACAAGAATAGTGCGGGTTCGTTAAAGACACTGGAACAAGGAACGCGTTATTCATGCACAGAATGTTCTCAGAAAGAGCAATACAAATGCAGAAGAACGTGTACCAATGTTTTATAATCTACGCAAAGTCTTTCGACAAATTACGCCATAAAGAACTGTTTGAGCTGCCCAGCAATCTTGACATATTCAGAAAAGACTTTAGAATAATCTAAAACCTCTACTATAAAAATAAAAAATGAGCTCAGCAGATATACGAAAATAGAAAGCAGCGTAAACCACGGATATGTCTTCTCTCTGGATTCTTCAACCTATACAGAGTGGCAATTCTGAGAGAACTGGAAATCCTAGCAGGATTCATCATTGGTGGTTACGGTATTAACAACATAAGATATGCCGATGACACAATGCTGATAGCAGACACGGAAAGGAAACTACAAAGCCTCCTACAGAAGGTAGTGAAGGAGAGCGAGAAGAAGGGACTAAGCATAAAATATGACAGAATACATGGTCATCAGCAAAAAAAAAAAAAAAAAAAAACGAAATGCAGTTTACAGATCCGGAACAATATAATCAAGTAGGTGCGGAAATTTAATCTAGAAAATGTTCTGAAAGAAGACGGAAAGTGCGACGATGAGATACAAAGATGAATTGTAATGCCCAGAGACACACTCCGAACTCTAGTATTACGAGACAAAAGGGTTTCGTTGGTAACAAAGAAAAGAGTACTGAACTGTTACGTGATATCTGTCCTCCTTTACGGTAGCGAATGTTTGACAATCTATTCAAGTATGAAGTAGACATTCGAAGCAACAGATCTGTGGTTCTCCAGAAGATGCTAAGAATATCATGGGACAAAACATGTGAACAAAGACGCGGTTTTGGACAAGATGCAAACAAAAAGGAAAGTTATACTTAACATCAGGAAGAGACAGTTGAAATTTCTGGGTCACGTAATAAAAAAGGAGGGCTTGGAAAATCTGATACTCACAGGGCGGATAGAGGGAAAGAGAGGCAAGGGAAAGCAACGCGTGACATACTTAACGGGCTTAAGCAAGTGGATGGCAGGACAGGGTCTGGGAGAAAAGAGTAACAGGGGACAGGAGGAAGTGGAGAACGATAATCGCCTACGTCCTGAAAGGACACGGCACATAAAAGAAGATATATTTTGTTTGCTCAGTATTATATTAGCCTGTTCTTTTTTGTCTATTCTTTATTGTTTATTGTGAACTTTGTTAATTCCGAAGCATTTTATTTGCAACTTCCGCTTTTCTCGAGTGTAAACGAAATTTTCAACAATGACTTCTTTTATGTATCAATTTATAACTGCATTAGATGGACCTAAAAGTTGGAAATGAGGCTATGTCTTTCATGGAAATACCTTACACGAACAATAGCAACGAATGAGGCATTTGAGTAATGTTTTGGGCAAGTATTAAATTTATATGTATTTTCAAAAATGATATTGCTGTCTAGATAGATAGAAAGATAATTATTGTAAGTTCTTGGAGAAAAGGTTTTAAGAATGGTTCAGGTTACAACAAAGAATCTTGAAGTTAGATAGAAAATTACTGCATGACAATGCTCTTTCGCATTCTACAAATGTAACGCTCCCGTAAGTATCTATCTTCCCCTGCTATTCTCTCAATTTACAAGAGCCTGATTAACCCAAAAATGGAGTATTGCTGCCATATCTGAACTGGAACTGCCGAGTTCTCACTTGCTTGTCCCAAGTAGAGTTCAATAACGTCTAATTATTTACATGTAAAATAATATTCTCTATTTAAAAAATTACTCCTATTAAAACATTACTAGGTGTGGCCTCAACCTTGTGAACTGTAGTACATATATATATATATATATATATATATATATATATATATATATATATATATATATATATATATATGTATGTATGTATGTATGTATATGAAGTAATATAGTTTTAAGGTGTGCTATATTTATTGGATAATGTACTCAGTATCAGAGATAGAGCGTATGTGAATACAAATATAAAAGTGAACATTGAAGTCAACACTCAGAGGCGGCAGGCAGTTTCATGACACATTACAATTTTTTTAAAAAAATGTTTCTCACTTGAAATATTCGAAATACAACTCTATTGTTGCGATACGACACATTCCAAAATTATACCGTTAATAAATAGGATACATTTTTAAAAAAATCATCTTTCGGCTTGCAATAGATTTATTTGTGTAACGAATAATTTTCCACCATACAACCACATTTCCACAGACTAAAAGTCTCCAATTTATCGCTATTTCCATGGCATTTAGTCTGATGAGATATATTCCTTGGTTCCACCAGCTGTGATCTTTAAAATTTTGACCACCATGCTACGTACACAAGTGTGAATCATCCTTGTTTCCATCGTATTTCATTCGTAAGAAATGAAGATAACATTTGACAGTCTCTTCGGAGTGTCTGATGCTTTGTAGAACCGACTGTCGGCAGGATATTTTCCCAATCACTAAACTATTGACCTTTTAACGTCTAGGCTTAATCATTATACTTTTTCTATATGCTTTTTCTTACCCTCATATAACAATACACATTAACCCTCTATCTTGAGTGGCTCTTGGGCCTTGTCCTGGGTGAACTTTAGTACAAAAATATATTTTATCCAACAGAAAACATGTAGTCCACCAGGAAAGAAGATGTATGTGAGAATGAAAACAATGTTCAAGCAAAGATCTCTGAAAGTCAATAAATACTGATACTAAGTTATTTTACAGTTAAAACAATAGAAAAGAATAGATAGATAGATAGATAGATAGATAGATAGATAATGAACAGTGTGACAGATAGATAGATAGATAGATAGATAGATAATGAACAGTATGATAGATAATGAACAGTGTGACAGATAGATAGATAGATAGATAATGAACAGCGTGACAGATAGATAGATAGATAGATAGATAGATAATGAACAGTGTGACAGATAGATAGATAGATAGATAGATAGATAGATAGATAATGAACAGTATGATAGATAATGAACAGTGTGACAGATAGATAGATAGATAGATAGATAGATAGATAGATAATGAACAGTATGATAGATAATGAACAGTGTGATAGATAGATAGATAGATAGATAGATAGATAGATAGATAGAAATATGAACAAACAGTAAAAGTTTCAATAAATGTTACAAGTGATAGCTGATATGTTTTGCAAAAGGATCATCGATTTTATTGTAATATTACATATTTTAAAATAATATGAAATAAAACTCTAGCTGAAATGAAATCTAGTGTTTGAAAGAGACTTTGACTTTGTCTAGATTATTGTCCATTTACATATATATGTGGCGTATTACTTGTAAACCAATATAGGCGTATGTAAATGTCTATGTCATAACATGAATAGGTGTGTTTATATATCCGTTATTATATTCTTTGTAAAGGAAAACTTATGTGTGCCTATTTGTGCGCATGCGTGCCCATTCGTATAAGCTATGTACCCGTCTTGATTCGTGTGCATACTCATCCATGTATGTAACTGCTTGTTTTTTTTTTAGGATGGTCAGAGAGAAGGCGCTGTAGTCAACCAGGAACCAGATTTCAGACGCCACTGTATTTTTTAAAGGATTTTTCTACTTTTTTTTTTTTATTAATGTCGCTTGAGAATATCGTTGGGTTTTCATTTATTGTAATTCTTTATATGTAAAAATAGTGTGTTTTTACTTCCAGAATTGTGTCGAACTGATGGAGTTCTATTAATATAAAACCAAAAACGATTGATGGGAAACAGGGGATTCAAAGACATGTAATTGCAGTTTATCGATCGAATGTGTACGCGCCTATATATATATATATATATATATATATATATATATATATATATATACATATTATATATATATATATATATATATATATATATATATATATATATATATATATATATATATATTTATATATATTTTTATGTATAAACACATATTATTATTATTATTATTATTATTATTGCTCAGAAGTTGTCATGTTTGAGTAGACGACCTGATTTGGGATTTTAAACAATGTGAATTACACTAACGGGGATTTCCCCTACATTTTTGAGACACATGTTCTAACCCGGCAAGAGGACACATTTTTCAATGTACAGATGGGTAAATATAATTCACAACGTTGGAAAAGCAGAACGTCTATGTAAATACGGTTTATTGACTAAAGTATAATATAAATAAGTAACAAATATGATTCTGGATTAAAATTTCCGTATTCCTTAGAAATTGTTGTATATATATAAACCACAGATCAAAGGTATGGAGCCAATTCCAGAATTGTCATTGGACGAACTTGACAGAAAAGTGAAAAAAGTCAAAAAAAAAGAGCTTGTAGAGTCATAGAAAAAAGAATGGAATCAATTGTCAAACTTATACTTTGAGAAATTTTTGCAACGAATGCCAAAAAAATTGTGCTGGAGTAATCAAAGGAGGATATTTTGACGGGGGCAAAATTTAATCACAAAATGATTTGTATCTTTTTGTCATAAGAAAATTTCTAATAAATTATGTCTCACATTTTTAACCATGTAAAATGATTTTCTCTATTTAAAAAATTACTCCTATTAAAAATTACCAGGTGTGGCCTCAACCTTGTGAACTGTAGTATATATATATATATATATATATATATATATATATATATGTATATGTATGTATGTATGTATATGAAGTAATATAGTTTTAAGGTGTGCTATATTTATGGGATAATGTACTCAATATCAAAGATAGAGCGTATGTGAATACAAATATAAAAGTGAACATTGAAGTCAACACTCAGAGGCGACAGGCAGTTTCATGACACATTACTATTTTTAAAAAATGTTTCTCACTTGAAATATTTGAAATACAACTCCAGCGTTGCGATACCACACATTCCAAAATTATACCGTTAATAAATACCATACATTTTTTTAAAAATCATCTTTCGGCTTGCAATAGATTTATTTTTGTCTTGGAAATTTACCTGAAATGAAAAAAAAAAATTAATACTTAACGATGAAGGGGCGAAAGTACTTGTAACAGAACATCTAAGACATCTCTTAATTTTAAACATAAAGATCGTGTCATTCAGAGAATTGTTAGTAAGTTAATATTTTATTGATCTGTTAGCGAAGTGATTTCGTCATTAATTACATTAACTTTACTGATTAATAATTTTGATGATTACTTCTTTCAATATATATATATATATATATATATATATATATATATATATATATATATATATTTAACATATTATACGCTGTTATATTAGAACATGTAAATATCCACTAAAAATTGCACATTTTGTTTCAACGTTAAAATCAAACGTTTCTTCAGGTGGTTAACAATGATGGTACTAAACTACTTTATTGCGATTAATGAAACACTACTTCACTTTCCGTTTTGGGAAAATTTCCGCAAAAAGTAAGAAAAACATATTAAGAAAAAAGAAAAGAATATAAGAAATCTATAAAAAAAGGAAGAGGGAAGAAAAAGAAAAGAAAGTCAAGGGAAAGCATAAGAAATTAACCCTACTACCAAGAGAAAAAACAAAAAAGATAAAAAAAAAAGGAAGGAAAGGGCAATAGACAAGTATATTCAAAATTCCCCAGATTCATAAGAAGAGGAATGTCACGAAGATAGAAAATAGAAAGATGTTGAAACGAGTTAAACCAATGAAATTCTGTTGAAGACAATAAAGAAAGACAAGAAGGATAGAGAAGTATATTCAAAATTATCCAGATTCATAAAAAAGAGGAAAGTTAAGAAGATAGGAAATAGAAAAATGTTGATACGATTTAAACCAATGAAATTCTGTTGAATGAGAGAATTCAAATTTGAACGGAAACGCGAAGTGAATGGATACACTTTATCTCCATGTCGCATTTATAATTCTATGGCATTTGTGTATCAAGTCATATTCAAACAAAATTATCCACAAAATGTTAAAATGGACACTTTATGAAGAAATACAATACTTAAAAAATATATTTTACAACATAAATTAGAATACAAAATAAATTATAAACTTTTTTTATAATAATTATAAAGTATTAGTAACAAAGCCAGAGAAAAATAATTAACTAGAATAAAATAAGAATAAAAATAAAATAAAATGTAATAAAAATGAAATATAATAAAAATAATAAAATTAAAAATTGAAATATAATACTACTAAATGTACTACTAGTAAATTACAAATATTAAGCAATTTAATGTCTGAACCTGGGATAAATTAACGATGAAAACAATGAAATGTTAATAAAGATAAACATAAGAAGATTGAGTCTAGAGTTAAGAAATTTAGCAAGATTTTAAAGCTAATTCCTCTATGAGCTTACAACCTATCTCTGTTTCGTATCTTTGATTCAACAATATGTCACTCCTTATTCTGATACTTTTGTGTTGAGCCCCGTTTTAAATTGTTTTGAAAGTTGAAATTTTAATATTCGATCTTTTACATCTGGATTATATATATATATATATATATATATATATATATATATATATATATATATATATGTGTGTGTGTGTGTGTGTGTGTGTGTGTGTATATATATATATATATATATATAATCATTTATTCAAAACCATAACATAAAATGTCATAAAAGTGATGGTGTTGAATGTAGAATCTTCTACATTTAACACCATAACAAAAAATATACCAAAAATTGAAACAAAATGGCTATTTTTGTAGTGACTTTATGACATTTTTATGTTATAATTTTCGAATAAATGTTTATATTTGACTCTCTGTATTGACCACTATTTTCAGAATAGTATTTGTTGGTTATTGGAATTTATTCCGTATACACCAATCCCATACTTATATATATATATATATATATATATATATATATATATATATATATATATATATATATATACACGTTGCATTAAATAATATAGACAAGTGTTTATTTATTTTATGTAAAATTTGTTCGTAACTTCTGATAAGTTTGATAACATTATCATTAAACGAAGAAAAAATTCACAATATTGATCCATATTTTTAATATAATCTAAGCTTCGGCTTACTTAAGCCATTATCAAATATGTAAATCACAAACATATTAAAATAATATACGGACACGACAGTGATGATAGTCTGTCATTGTTTACATAGTGGATCACTAAGCAACGATAAACACGCGCATATAAGACGCTAGAAGCGAAAATCGCACCGCATCTCATGACGTCACACATGACCACACGGGAGTGAATTGGAGAATGAAGTATGGAAACCCGTTGGTATAAACCAATTATAGACATTTAAGAATATTTGTAGAGATGCCATAATTGATTTTGTTTAGGTTGGGTTTTAACTGTTTGATGTATAATGCTTCAAATATTTTTAGTATTTATCTATTGTTTTCATGTCGAAATATATTTGTGTTTTCGACAAGTATTTTACGGAATTATTGTTATGGCAGGCATGTTGTTTTAAATGCCTAAAAATGTTAGGAGTTTTCAGTAGTGTCAAGCGTCGTGAAAGCGAGTTTGTGGTGTGACCAACATAAATATTATTTAATTCGTTGGAGATACACTCTCCCAAAGGGCACTTAAATTTATAAACTATGTTGGTTTTTTGCAAATCGCTAACCGGGGAGAAGAATCATTGCGAAGTATTAAGTTGATATACTAGATTTAGTGTAGTATATGATTAATTTAATTTTTTGCTAGGATCTGTAGTTGATATATTAGAATTTACTAAATTTTTAGTATGATTTCATCTTGTTTATAATTAGTATGCATTTGATTACGATATATAGAGATTAATATATTTGAGATCAGTAGAAGCAGTATTATGTACAATTTGCTTATTATTGAGATTTCTAAAAAGCATCTTATTTGTTCATCAACTATATAGTTTGGAAAAAGCTATTATTAATAAGTGTCTGTTTTATATTCTTTAGTTCACTGTAAAAAATCTGTTTTTGTGGATGAATTAGTTTCTGCACGATGTATTAGATTCTTTATAATTGCTATTTTTGTAGTAATATGGGCATTCGCTCTTGTAGTTAAGTGTACATGAATTTATGCTTGTAGGTTTTTTTATGGCGAAAAAAAGTAAATTTGTTATTATTTGTGTTTATCAATATGTCAAGGAAGGATTTTATTATTAGTATTGAGTTCATATGTGAATTTAAGGACAGAATTATTTTGGAACCGTTTTTTGAAGTTGAATTATTTCATCTGTATTTTTAACTAACATGAGAATATCATCAACGTATCTTAGGTAGATTGATGTTTTTAAAATCTGTAAATATCTTATTTTTTCGAGGTTCGACATGTAGAAATTGCTAAATGTCGGATCCAATATTGAACCCATGGAGACACCATCACGCTGCACATATATATTGTTATTATTATGATCGAAGAAAGGGACTTCAGTAGTACAAGTTAATAGTAGTTTTCTTAATATATTAGGATTAATTTTAAGTGGGGGTAAAGATGAGTTACTGTATATTTCTTATGATTATGTCAATAGTTTCACTTACAGGGACATTGGTAAATAAGTTTTCAACATCAAGTTGACCATGATTTCATTGTCCAGGTTTTCACTTTTAGGATTTGGATTACTTCTAATGTTGACTTAACGCATATTTACTAGGAAGATAGGGAGTAATAACTTGGTTGATGTATTTTGTTAGATGATATACAGGAGTTGGAATTTGCGATATGATAGGACGGAGGGATAGTTAGGTTTATGTGTTTTTATAGTGCCATATATATGCCAGAGTCTATAATCACCAACAATTTTAGGGAGTTTTAAAGAGTTCTGTTCAGCATTATTAGCATTAATAAGTTTATTAAGCTTTGATTTTAGTTGGTTGGTCGGGTTCTTGTTAAGTTTTTTAAACTTTATGTGATCATGGAGTATGTGGTCTAGTTTTTTGTTGTAATCCAATTTGTTTAGGATGACAAAAATGTTGGTCTTATCAGCTTTTTTTACAATAAGGTCAGGGTGGTTACGTAGTTCTTGTGCGGCAATTTTCAGTTGTTATATATACGCATTAATAAATAACGAATGAAGAGGAAAAATATTAAGATCTATTTTAATCGTGTTCCA